CAAGAAGACATTTAAATTGTGTGGAAAATAAATGTATATAGTGCAAATGTACATATTTTGTGTGGAAACAGCCTTCTCAAACAATCTGAGAGCCAAGAATGCACTGTACAGAATTGCATGTGAAAATGAGTCTTTTCTACTGGATATATGTTCCTGTTTACATACATGTTTAAACGTGACACGAAGAAGTGAAGTTAAATGGTTGAGCACTACCGTGGGCATATCATGGAATTACCTTTAACATGGGTCAGCCGAACAAAGAGTGGATGTTACTGGAGAACCGCCCTCACGTGACACATGCCGGAATCCTTCTCATCAAGGAATAAAGAAGAGCAAAAGTGTGATGCTTCAGTAACGGTCACCTTTAGCTGATGTGAAACATGAAGTTACTGGTAAACCAGGGCATTTTTCTGAACAAAATGGTAATGTAGAAATGAGTACCTTGGGTGGAGGTAGTGTATGTATGTTATGTGAAACCCTTTATACGCAGGAATAAAAAGTCATCACCAATTCAGCAATTTAAGATTATATACAAGTTTACATAACAGTTCATGGGGTTTTCTTTTTGTTTTTTTTTTTTAAATTTGAGATGTTTTCAGCAAATACGGTGAATTCTGAGGTGATTTTTTTTCCCTAAAATTGTTTGCTTTTTCATACATTTTCCACTAACTCCTGTAACTCTGTGCAGTTCTTTGTAAAATCTCGGTGAACAAACAGATTAATAATTTTCAGAGACTCAGTTCAAGATGGAGAATTTTTTCCAACCGTTTGTGGTCAGAGGGAATGCCGTCGTAACCACTCCATCAGATCTGAAGGGAGAACAGGGGAATGGTGATCTTTGAACCTCTGAGTTGTGGGTGACCTTGAACTAGGTCTCATTGGGGAACTGGTGCCATATTTTATCCTGTAATAATACTTTAACTTTCAGGAATGCAAGTCAGTCTATTGATATCACAAGGAAGAGGGACTGTGGTCATCTTGTTGCGTGCAGATGGCTGAGTCTCTGAATTACAAATGAAATGAGATTGGAGCTACTTGGAGGAACCTTTTCCCCCACCCATTTTAAGAGTGCCCATCTTTCTTACAAACTCTTTGCTTTAGCATAAAAACTAAAACTGAAAGAATGGCCCTTCAGTGTGGCAGTGACAAGCTGCAATTTATGTTCCACTTAGTGAAGTTATGGTCATTTCTTTAGTGTTTGTGGTTTTGGTTCATGTCACAGCTTGACCTCTGGTTGCTTTTTCATTTTATTCTTCTACTGATCACTTACTATCAGTCAAAAACGCAAACACAGTATTATTTTCTAAGCATTTGTGCAATTACATATGATTATAAACAATATGAATCCTAATTTGTACCTTACATACTATCATAGAATAGGTTTGGGTTGGAAAGGATCACCTAGTTCCTTCCACTAGACCAGGTTGCTGCAAGCCCTGTCCAGCCTGGCCTTGAACACTGCCAGGGACAGGGCAGCCACAGCTTCTCTGGGCAACCTGTACCGATGTCTCACCATGTCACGTACATGGCTTTGATCTTATCCCAGTTTAAAAACTGAATTCAAACTTGCAGCCACCAATGTGTGTGAAAAATAAAAAAAAAAAAGTGAAAAGAATGGCTTCAGATTTTTTGGTTGGGAACAGTTTCTTTTAAAGATTGACCAGCTCATCATAAAAAAAGAAATCATTCACTTCCCCCAAATTCAGCAGTTTTACTGCAAGCTATTCTGAAGCTATGGGAAAGAGACTCAGCTATTTGTTCTTCGCACGTGTAACTTCCAACACTTGGAAAGTCAACCTACTTAACTGGCTGCAAGAAACGGTGCTGGCAAACGCTGCAGTGGGGGCAGGATGCATAACCTCCATCTATGCCAGTATTAGGAGCAACGGGGAAATTGTGAGTTTGAGAGAGACTTTCTGTTTTGTTCTTCACAACTTAAGTATTGTAGATATAATTTTATTTAACTTCTGTACAGACTTGGTTAAAAGATTTATTTTTAATGTTTGCAATAATGCACTTGTTTACTATTACTGTATGTGGGGTAAATATATTTTCTTTTCAGGTCATGTAAAAATATGAAGTAATTTAAACATTAAATAAACGTGCTGTGGATGCTTATTTTTGTAATCGGAGCAGCATCAATTAAGTACAAACTCTTTATTGCTTGACTCCAGCTGGGCTACAGTTCACTATCCTGCCTGCCTTAAATTACAGGTTAGTACTGTGGTTTCCCCAGAGTGGTATTCTGGATTCAATTACTTCAACTGAAGGGCAGATATTTGCTTGCATCACAAATTATTTCAGATAACACAGTGCAGGAAGAAAGCTTCTCCTGCAGTAAATCACAGTGTCCCGGGTCTGATGAAATTCCAGCTCCAGTAGCCAAAACCACCCCTGGAGCTCAGGGGACAGCAGCAGAATTCTGGAGTGGAGGGGTCAGGTACTTTTTCATACTGGGTTACAAGCTGGAAGCTGCTGCAGAGCTCTGCATGAAAGCAGAGGAATGGACTTGGCTTTTCTTCAGTCTGGCAATGTAAAGAAACCCATTCTATGATTCTGTAATCCTTAAGATTTATCTTAAAAAATGTATCTTTTAATTTAGCTACTTGAGTCCCACACGACATAGAAGAAGGGGCTCCTTAAGCAAAGGATACAGCTCCTTTTGTGATCAGGAAAATAACAACTAACATGGGCACCTGAGCCAAGAGGCGCAAATATTCTCTCTGCTGCTAACATCTCCCCAGTTGGCTCCACCTCAACTCTTGGACTCTTACCACCACTGTCACTGTCCAGACTTTTAACAACTGTGCCACAAAGTTGTTCAGGCATCATCATGTAAAATAATGAGGCGGCAACAAGATCACTACTTCATTTTTTTCTATTTATTAGATTTTACATTTCATATATTTACAAAGACATCTGTAGTGCTTTCTATTTGATTTGGTTGCAACCATCACTTCATCAACACTATCAGTTTCATACAGTCATCGTACATCATTAAAAGAGGATGGGAATGTACTGTTTTAACTATCACCGCTTTCACCTGTTACTAATTCTTTAACCATTAAGTGTCTTTAGCCAGCTTTATAAATCTATGCTTCCATAGTAATTGTTTTAAAATGAAAAAATAAATATTTTATTAAACTTGCCTCAAATAAATGAACCTTTCAGTCATGAAATAGTTCAGGTGTGCTTAATACTCAAGTCACCTACACCAGGAGATTCTTTTCAGAACAGGTGGAGCACCCCCCCCCCCCCCCCCCGGCACACACTGATTCCTCATACATGTACATAACAGCTTCAGAAATTTCCATAGGTATATTGGCACTGTTACATATTAATACAGGTAAGAGGGGAGCAGCTCAACTGGTAGATAATTGATTGTCATCGTCCTCAAGTTATCAGAAATTGTTATGATCTAGACCCAATACTATTTACAAAGTTTCATCTTACGCTGCATTAAAAATCATTATTTAAAATCCATTCCATTCATTTCTGTCTGAAAGCACTGACAGCTCATCGGTTGAAAACAGTCATAGAAACTAATCGAACCAAGGGAAAAAACAAATATTTATTGGACTCGGATTCCTCACAGCAGGGATAAAAGTTGTACATTAGTAATTTCTATATATCGCAGTGTGCAGGTCCCCAGTTCACTTTTCGCTTATCCAAGCTGCTGGAAAAAGGAGGGCTTAGGAGGCTGGCTGCCTGATGAAACCCCTTCCCTGGTCCCTTTTGGATGAGGTAGGTGGGCATGATGTATGCTGCTTTGGAGGCAAGTAGGAATGGCTCTTTGTTCCGACTGTTTCAATAACTACCTCGGCTTTCAACTTCTGCAGCTGTAGCTGAGCTACCTCTTCTAGCATAACAACCACCAGCATTATGCCTGTGGCTAGGGGCATTTGTTAACACATTCTATAGGTCATGCTTGGCATTTAGGGCAGCCTTGTAAATTCTTGACGTTTAAGGCTTGACAATATACAAGTGCCTAAAATGTATGGGGTGCTGACTGTACACCTTACTGCAATAGTCATACTCATTGCATAAAATGTGTCTAAAAAAGCAGCTCATGACTTGTTTTAACTATCCACAGAGATGTTGCATTCAGGTCTAAGCCTATTAACACACCATTGTTTGCTTAAAAATTGACATAAATAAAGTTTTGTGCTTTGAATAAACAGGGTCATAACCATAAAACATTAAAGAAAAAAAAAAAACTACTTTGTAAAAAGACTAAACTCTTATTTTCCAGTTTCTTTTTAGTCTCAGTCTTAAATTCCTGTGTTACTCCCAATTTATCTTAGCAGAGACCTCAGAAACCTCAGCTAAGGCGATGCAGCCAGCATTTAGCAATTAGCAGATGCAGCTTTTTGCTTACATGGCAATGTCCTGATAAACATAAAGCTTCTGAAAGAGAAAACACTGCAGAGAAAAGGCAAAGTGTGTCAGCTCAAACCAGTACAGTGCTGCAAGTTCAAAGTGCAAGAGCTGTTGGTGTGAGCTGGAGACCCTGAAGTCCTGTGCTACGCTGTATTTGAGGATTTAAAGAAGCATCAGAAAAATACACTTAAAATACACAGAAAAGCGTCAGGAGATAAATTATCACCAGCTACTGAAAAATGAGGCAACCTCAGTTCAGATCCTTTTAACAAAGTTGGGATTATTAAGCTTTTGGCTGCACAAACACCTCTCAAAATCAGCACCTCTGGAAAGGTGTGTGTTTAATCAATTCCTTTTTAAGATGCTAAAAAATAACCCCTGGTTTATTCGATCACTCATTCTCCCACAGTTCTGCTCCAGAAAGAACAAAGAATGTGGAAGATGATATAAAAAATAAACTGCACTGGGGCATCAGCAACATCACACACACAAAAATGTAAAGGGTATGTTTAAAGAGTTGAAAGTCCGTAACAAAAGTTTCTCTTGCTTATCTGCAGTCACTAATTTCTGCCTACAGTAGTTTTCAACAGTCTTGTCTAACATAACCAGATGAATGAATGGACAGATTTTAAATGTTTTATTGCTTCCAAATAGAGTAAAGATCTGGTAAAGGAACAGAAATCCAATTTTCAACAGGAGTAGTTTTAGGGTTTGGTTTGGGGGTTTTTGTTAGGGTTTTTTTTTTCCTTCCAAAAATAACTTTGCTCATTAAATTTTGATAATCTCTAAAAAACTAAAGCCTACTAAATCTGGAATCCTATTCTGAGCCTCAGGATAACGCACAAGTTTTCATGCTTACACACAAGTGCTTTTTGTGTGCAAACGTAAGGCAGTTGTATCATCCCATCCAACAGAATCTGCAAGCGACCCTTCAAACCTGGTGCTTATTTCGAAGCTTCGCTTTCCCTGTTAAATCTTTCAGGGGAGCTCACAAGACAGAATAAAGTCTGATATTTATTAATACATATATTTGAAAGACTCTTTTCTGAATGTAACAAATATAAAAAGTTATCAGTGTTTACAAATTGTCAAAAACGTCCAAAGTACAAAAGGATACAGTACATTAGTTGTGTGGAAGTGATTGTACTCTCTGGCACTGAAATCATCTCAATACTGTGGGCATGCACAATGTACACCAGAAAAACTCATGCATCAATCAGAACAAATAAGGAAGTAAGACAATTTGCTGCCTTCTCCAATTACAAATTCATTGCTTCTGTTAGTTTTCTTTCCTCAGGAATACCATTTACCTGCAAGTAGATAAGATCTTTATGTAATCCATTAGTAGCAGATGATGCTTCAACAATACTGAACTGCTAACTGGTCACACAGTACATAAACAGTATTTATTAGTCCCTTATCAACAACCACATTGGAGAAACACAAATACAACCTGCACCAAAAGACAGCACAGACATGAAAAAGCTTTGCTTGCACTCTTCTGGGAAGGGAGAGAGCTGGGAAAAATGTTTAGCTTGGAATTTTTCTATTTGGCATCTAACGGACTTCACAATGGACTGTGTAGCTCCAAATGGAAAACGCAGTGCAGTGTACATGCACTCTTTAGTCTTTTGCATTGTAGGAATACGCTATGAACTTTTTCATTTAATTCCCTTAAAATAGTCCTCATTAATTTTGCCAATCAGCAGAAAGACAATTATAAAACTTAATGTACCTGTTCATACTGGAGACCAGCAGCGATATTCAGCAGTGCAATAGAAACATTAGGTGTGAGTCATTATCTTTCATACAATAATTTCCCAATTTGGTTTTAATTTTGTGAGATCATGTCAGCTATTAAAGTCTACAGTGAAGGTGAAAAAAAAGTGTTTCTTATCGGGGATTCAGATAGTTCCTGAAGATGACAGGTGTTATTAGAGATGGTTTGCTCTTCAAATGACTAAATATGGTCTACTGAAGCTTTAAGATAGAAATACCTTCTTATTCATAATGGTGACTATTAGTATGTTAATAATCCCGAGTATATTATTGGGAATTTTCTGTAAGAAAGGAAGAAAATTAAACAATGAACATCTAGTTCATTAGGGTTTTTTTGGCCTGAAGTGTTTCAGTTTTGTAAGTTTCTTACTTGAACAGATCAGTAAAACTGATCGCTATGTTTGTACTGATGCTACTGAAAAAAAAACCCAAACAACTCAGGAGCACCTGAATTTTGTTTTAAATCCTAACTTTCTAAAACTCTAACTTGCTGACACACTAGTCATAGATACGCTTTAGAAGACAAACTGCCAGCGGAACACGCCATCATGGCATGGAAGTGCTCATTTGCACCTGAGTTACAAAGGAAGGTATCATTGTGAACTAAAAGGAGGAAACATTGTCTGTCCCAAATACATTCCCCATCTGCCCCAATTTCTGAGAGCTTGTCACAGGCAGCAGCTGTGATGAATGTAAAAGAACAGGTGCATTCTACCAAAAATAACATACTAGAGAAAATACAGACACAGCAGGGGTTTGAAGACCTATTTTTACAACAGTTCTTCAGTGCGAATTGCAAGCGATAACCCCATGCTAGCTTGTACTTCGCACCCCGTAAAACATCTCACTGCTATAAACAGCACTACCTGGTGATTTCGCACCTTTCCCACTGCAAGACAGAATGGACAACTGTGCGACATTCTTATTCTGCCTTCTAAATGCCTGCAGTAGTGAGTGTTATGAGCTGTGCTAAATGTCAACCCAAACCAGCGCTGGAGGCTTTAACTGCCAGCATCATCCACCATTTCCAGCACATGTAATAATAAAGCATACAAATAGGAAAGCTAGCAAAAGTGCAGTCAGGTTTTGTTGTTATAAATGTGTTTCTAATTTCCAGATAACCACAAAATAAACCCCACATGGGCAGACGCATCTATTATATACTTGCCTCAAATCTTTGAAATGTTGTCATACGAAATTCTCCTTTAATCCCCGAAAGCAGTAATGAAGAAGAAGGATTTTGAATGAAAAGAAAGAGTTGTTTATGTAACTCCTACGTTAAAACAAGTCTTCCTCTTGGAGCTGTAGTTCCTGTATTATGCTCAGTACGTATATATTGCTCGAGTTCTGCCTAAATACCTCTTTCAGTACTCAAAACTTAAACTTTGGCCTCTGTATTTTCCTTGTATGATCCTTATCCCCTTTTACATGGCTTTGGCTTTGTTTTTTCTCATACCTGATACACCAGCTACAAAGAGCAACCAGCACCTAGTCAATACACTGATAGGGCCATCCACAATCTCAGTCATCAGGATTTGGGAAAATGCTGTAAAAGCGATGACTAAGACAGGGAAACCTCCAGCATGGATATATGCCTCACCACAGGTTCCCCAGTGTCGACTCTTTATGCTTAATAACAGAAATAAAGAGCTCCTTCTTCAGAGCTTAACTAGTATTGGCAAGGATTAGAATTTTTGACTTCCTATCAAGTTGTAGAGAATCTGAGCAGTGTAACTGCATTTAGGAACCTGGTTGTAGCTTTTGTTTTAATAGAAAATTATTTATAAGAGGAGGTTTTTGAGTTAAGTGTATTATATTCCAGGGTCTCATGCTGAGCCCTAATGTACCATTTCCCCTACTTGTTCCATCAATCACATCCCAAAATTTTTCCTGATGTATCAAAAAAAAAAAAAATTGGAATGACAATGCTGTTACACTTTACTATATTTGAAAATGGTTTCCATTGTCAATATACTGTATGCATTTGTGATTCTTTCATACCAGACACTTAATAGTTACAGTATTTTCTCAGTACTGACCTGCACTCTGCTGCTGTGGAATCTGAGTCTGATGCGGCAGGTTCCTACAAAAAAAACAATTGAATATCTTTAATGCTTCCGCACAAAGTCTGAAGTATATTATACATGGAAGTTCAGTACTTAAAAATCATTTATTTGTTTATGAAGCAATAACCCGTTTTCACTATGTAAAGAGAGTTGTCAAAAGGCCAGCCAAGTCAATGCCAGAGAAAGAATTAGCGTTATGGTGTAGTTCCTATTATTCCACTTGACAACTAGGTTCAAAGGCCCAGACTTGGTGAAACAGAGGTAACGAGTCACTGCAGGTTTCTGACGTTATGCAAAGTTGTTTTCTGTGATGGTTACAGAAAAGGTGAGAGCATTTGCAACTCAATTACTACCTGTGGAATGAATGGTCAGCTAGTCTTACACACTGGACCACTTCACTCACCAAGGCAAAGTTACGTTTTGTGTCCTGCTCAAGTGTCTATTTTAACAGCTACCAGATATTAGCGTTATTTGTACAGAAAGGAATTAGGGGTAGGAATGTGGGTAAAGCAGATAAATACTTTACTCAAGAAAGCCTTTGGAACCCCAGTCATAAAAAATTGCCATTCTGAATAGAGAGGAAACTGTAAAAGACAAGGTAGAGCACTTCACAGCAGTGGTACAAAGGATCATTTACACAGCTGTACTTCCCGTAGCATTTAGCTTTGGGACACGGAGAAGAAAATACTCTTCTGGCACACACCTGTATCATGAACAGAATTCAAGGCAAGCACGCGTAAACTAGCACTAAGTTAGTGCTGGCACTGGGCAAGTATCACTGAGGCTGTGCAGGCCTGCCAGCTGAGGACCTACCAACTGGAGCTGGTGCCATAGCACAGCACTGAAAAGCAACGCCAACTACATCTGAGACCATTGCCTCACATCTGCTCAACCCAGACACCAAACATTTCCTTTCCAAACCAAACCTATCCAGAAATGCCTTTTTTCTTTTTTTCTTTTTTTACAGCACCACCAGCCTGTCTGGATTAGAGCACATGCAGAGCTCTAGGTGGGTCTGTGTTAATAGTTCTCTTCAGTTGCTGATAAATGGACTTCAAGGAATTGAAATTTCTGGTGTTTCTGGTTTCTGTCTTGAAGAAAGGCTGGCAACAATGGAAACAGCCGAGAGCTCTGAGCGTTTTCACTGGCAAGTCTGCATTTATTATCTGTGTAATGGAATATGCTCTTCTGTTCAATGCTAACATTGCAAACATAAACCCTGGGTGACAGGTACATGACTAACTACTTACAAAGTCCGGATCTATTTTCAGGTATGAAACTACCACCGACCCAGCGGTAGTTTTATACCAGGACTCCAGAGACATGGGTTAAGAAGCAGAATGTCTAAAATAAAACAGCTTTAATTGATTCCTCTGTCAAAAGTCGGTTTCCTCCAAAATATGCAGAAATGTAACTGTTCCACGCAAAGCTGCTTGCCAAGTCTGCAGACTGAAACCCAGCTGTTTAATTTTATAACAGAAGGCCTTTCTTTCTGCTTGAAATGCAAATATCAGTGTAATCTTGAACTACAGAGTCATTACTGATACTTCCATAATAAACAGATTTCAGATGACAAGCACTGGAATCCATATTTAAATCATGGAACATAGTATTAAGGAATAAAATAACCCTAAATACTTACTGCTGTGTCTGCATCAGTGGCATACTGGTGTTATCGTAGCTGTCTGTGTGAAGGGGGGGTACAATCTCACCAGTAACTGGGTGGAACACTGGGAGTGTGGAAAGAGGCCATGCTATCTCTCTATTTTTAGACATGTCACGAAGCTCTTTGGTTGATTTCTGTATAGCACTGTGGTGGACCAACTGGATGCTACGTCAAAAGGAAATAAAACATTAAATACATATTGTAAGTGCTCTATCAAAACAGACAGACTTTTGTAATTATTATTTTTCTTAAAAATACAAGGACTTTGATGCATGCTACAGACTCTCGAGTGCAGCAATTACAGTAAACCATTACACAGCTAATTTAATCAATATTGGATTTATTTAATTTTTAAATCAGTAATTATTCCATTAGATTTTGCTGTCTGGATAAGTATTTTTTATAGAATCCAAGACTATGCAATTTATGGCTAATATTTCATTTATTGGCTGCAGTTAAAATAAAAGTTTCGGTTAACTCCTGATTATAGTGGTAGATTCGTAACTCATATAGATTAGTTTTAAAACGCTTCATAGTATAGGCACTGGATACCTTCCAGGCTATTTGTCCTCCTGTCCACTGCCATTAAGATATAGGCTAGGAAGTCCAACGACCAGAAGTATAAATTACATATTATCATATTTATTCTAACAGCACTGTTTACTTTTGAATTGACAGTTAATTTCAAACCCTTTTTATTCTGGTCTTCTACCCTTGCCAAGACTCTGATTTAAAAGCAGCTTTCACATTTATGAATTAAACCATGGATTAGAGAGAATGGAAGAAGATTATGACACACAGTATGAAGCATGACAAGCTACTGAGAATGGAAATTAAATGGTAAAAGAAAAATAACAGGAAAGAAGACACTTACTCTGGTGTTTGCATGTTTCTCTTTTCCCTAAAAACAAAACAAAATTTATGAATTAAATAATAGCATTGATAGTTGGAACATTAAATCTGTCTGATGATGAAAACAGTACGTGATGTAGAAATGCTGACAAGGTTATTGCTAAATGCAACTTGGCAGCATTTGCAGCTGTGTTTATGGTGAGGCCTTGATGAACGCACATAGAGAGATGTGATACTGGTGACAGAGACAGACACACACACAGACATATACACAGAGAAATGAAAATGCAAGTTAAAGAACAAGCTTCTGGCTAAAATAAATTCTGTGACAAAATGAAATTGTAGTTTGTGTAAGAAATGGCAGAAATTACGTTACTTGCTGCTTTCCTTTTATGTGTTTTTCTTTTAGAATATGTCTAAGTTCATTTCCTCAACCAAATCTATTTTATAGAAGTTAGCATTTTAGAAATTACTTAATATTGTCCTGAACCAGCGATCCTTTATTAGTATTTTATTTGTCTGGGGCATTTTGGAGAGTTGCGCACAATTTTGTGGAGTTTTGTGTGTATGTTGAGATTTTTAACCCTTTCAACTGAACAACTAAAGTCCCTATATCCACTCTCATGGAAATTACTCTTTGTGTTTAGATGAGGAATAGTTCAATATTTCAGGCAGGTATGTCTTGGCCTGTTATAAATGTTTTTAATGAACTGAATGGAATTCTTCTAACAAACTTCTGTGAATTATAATCTTAGAAAAATCCATAATTACTTATTAGTCTGTTAAAGTACTCACACTCCTTCCCGTCGGCAGCACATGATATAGGCCAGTATTAGGAAAAGCACAAGTGCTATTGCTGAGGGCACTGCCAGTGTAATTAGGAAATCTGAGTAATAGTCTCTGCTTTTCAGTGTATCAGAAGGTGGCTTGTATTCTCCACCATCAGGCAATATCCCTTCTCCACGAATCACTTCCTGAAAGGTGGAAACTTGCTTTGTATTGTCAACCTGATAACCAGGAGAAAAAAAAAAAACAAAAAGGAAGGAAAAAAAATGCGATTATGTAACAAAGTAAGAGAAGGTAAAATGAGACAGTATTTAACCAACCATTCAATAGAAAAGAATCTGTATTACACACTGGACAAATGCTATGCAATTTCATCCAACAATTTCTTTTTAAACAATAAAAGCTTACGTTTTGCTGAAAGCTTCTCACCAATGCAGTAACACTCTACTATTACTACTTTATTTGTTGCCTACCAAATATGCTGGTTTTAAACATTAACTACAAATAGTACTTGAGTGAAAATTCAGTAAACATTTTTACTGGAAACTGATTATTTGATTAACAGATTTCTTTTTGATTACTTCATCCATTCTGACTAGTCTTCCTTAATAACAATACTGCCCTCTTTTGTATGAGGGTGGTAGAGATGAAGAGTGGAGTACCTACGATTTTCTTCCTCCTTCTTCCCTCACATTGCTCAAAAGAAGCAAGAGGCCTGAACCGAGTGCTGAGGACTGAGCAGCTCCATTGCCTCACCCAACCACCTGATGCAGGAAGCACCACAACAGGAGAGCCAGAGTTCCAAGGTTTTTCTACCTCCTAATTCAACTAACTTCCAGAGGAAGCTGCATTTGGGGTCACAAGTAATTTTTAACTTATTTTGTATATCGAATGTTCCTAGAAATACAACCCTTTTCTTTGCTACTGAATTTCCCATATTTAGGCATTTAATTTACTCCCTTTCATACATGACTTTTCAATTTTCTACCTTTATTTTCTTGATATCTTCATGTCATCATGACATGGCACCTAAACAAGTAACAAGTTCAAGAAGGATGGGTTTACAGGCTGCTGCAGAAAACGATGCTTCTCTGAGAGCATGTTTCTACGGCTGTTTCTCCAATTTCTGAGGACCTTTCTGAATTCTGTCCTGTCCTTTAATGCACCTGCAAATCCTTGAAGTTTCATGGGGGCTACAAATTTAGTAAGTGCATTCCGTCTAATAAGTGCATTCCATACTAATGAAGAACGGCAAGGAATTCTTAGTAATTCTACTATGATTACGGCTATGCAACCAGCTCTCCACTAGATCCTAGCATGAAGCTAGGCCATGTTCCTGAGTTTGCTTATGAGACAGTATCAAAGAATCTCATCAAAAAGAAATTACATCTGCTGCTGCACCTTTGTCCTACTTCTCTCTTGTAGAAGGAAATCAAAGGCTTGACAAAGTTTGTTCTTGACAAAGACTGACTGCCTTCTATTACTTTTCAGGTGCTGGAAGTACTGCTGAGTATACAGGTACCTTTTGCAATTTCTCAACAGAAAACCAGTAAACAGTAAAAAAATTGATTTTTTTTTTTTAACAAGTGTTTTGCAACTTTCTACCAGCTTTCCTATTTAAAAGTGAATAGAAAGAAAGGGCTGGAAGTTATCTAATTGATTTTATGTATAAATACTTTTTCTCATACTCAGTATGTTTTTTCAGTTGTACAAAAGCCTCCCTTTCAGGTTCCTCTTGGGTAAGGTCTGAAGCAGCTCAACACTCAACTAAGCCTACTTTATGTACTTTCCCCATCTTTGCTGAAACTTATCTGCAATGCTCTCTTCCACTACTGTAAAATTTCTTGGTCTTCCTCACCAGAACTAAAGGCAAATAACGTTAAAAAGCCTCTCTGGGTATTATACTCCTTCCATAGCAAATAGTCTAGTGTTCCGTCATCATTTTTCTTGTATTTGACCGAGAAGAATGTCACCATTTATTTTGATTTCATTAGTCAACAGTATTTTCTTTCCTTTTCCTGCTTCATTTTTAACATTAAATACGTTGTAGACAATTTTCAGCGAGATTTTTTTTTTAACAGCATAGAAAAATTATTGAAGTGGTCAGTGCTGTGGACTCAGTATTTGAGAAAACAATATATATATGCATACAGACACACACTTTTTAGCAATGCAAGAGTAACTAGCAGTATTAGCACACTGAATTAATGAACTACACCTACCTAAATGATTCTCTTATTACTTTTACTTCTGTAAACTCTAGAGTTCTCTGGCCATTTATATAAACCACTGTTAGCGAAATCTAATATGGCAGTTGCATTGGTGCTCAAGTCTAATAGAATTTCGCCTACATAGCAGAATCCTTTCACTATCTTAAGAGTGTCTGCTAGATGGAAAATAATGTCAATCAGTCATAATGAAGAATAATTTGGCAGGGTTGTCTGGCCAGGCTGGCAAAACTCTCACCTTAATTATAGCTAGCATAAAATATTGCACTCCTACAAATATCATTTTGATGCAATAATCAAATAACTCACCAGAGAGATTTTACACCAGTCAATATGGAATTGAGTACGAAATTTTTTATCACAGGTTATTACAGGCTCCATTTCTTGACTGCATCTCAGCTGATTTTGCGGGTTTTCCACTTCTCGTAAGCATGAGGAGAATGGAACATCTGCCCCAACCATAACATACACACTGCAGAGAGAGATGAAAGGACAGGCTGTCAGGATACCTCTCACAACTCCCCAAAGGACTTGTTAATTGTTAGAAATCACAACTGGAAATAGTGCATTCTTGTAATTTACACTCAGTGACTGAAACTCCCCCAATACTTCAGCTTATCACTTTCAGATGAAAGTCCACAGTGCTCCTGAAACACATAACTAAATTTCACTAGGTAAGAGCACAACTACAAATGACACTGTTACATGTTAAATGCTTTTAGAAATCTCTCTTTGTAATCTATGCTCTATCACACCTTTGTTTTGAAAGGCATGCCAAACAACTGCTCAGAAATAAGACCAGAATTAGAAATAAGCATATTTACTACCAACTGTTTTATAATTAATGGGATTTATTAATATTCCTTGGATTGTAAAATCAATATATAAGAACTGTTGAAATGGTATCTAACACAATAAACCCATGATATAACAGGGGCTCAGAGCATCAGTAAACTTTGCATATCTAATCCTGAAGCATAAAACAGTAATTGCAAAGTTCCTAGAAAACCTGAAAGAAATATTAAGCTTTTCAGTAAGAAAAAACAAACAAACAAAAAAAGAAAAACAATAAAAGAAAAAGAAAAAAAAGACGAGTAAAGCAAAAGCATTAGACTGACACATGTGCTTACCCCTCTTTCATGTCATTAATAGGAAGTGGAACTCTCCCTCCTCTGTCGAGGGCTGAAGTAATGTTTATGGCATTCAAACGTTCTGGCTGCCATACATTTTTCACTGCTCCAAGAAAGTCACCAAGAACTTCACTTGCTAACATTTCTTCTACATTCATATTCCGTATGAAGAACTCCGCTTGATACGGTAAAGGAAAATCTAGTTGTGATGAAAAAGGAAGAGTTTTGCCGTAAACAAAGGCTCCGTAACAAAGAATGTGAAATCATGATTAACATAATACCGTCTTAAGATTGATTAACCTTTCCAAAAATCTTCTATTTGAACTAACTCATTTTGAACCTGATGTGATTACACTTAATCAAACACTACCATTAGCTATTACATAAGCTGAAAACCATTGGTTACTTATAAAACACCTGTGAGATGAAGGAACAGGCTAGAGGAGGAGTCTCAGCTGGCAAATCTTTATTAAACAGGTAAAATTACTATTTTTAATAAAATGACTATCATTACTCATGCTAATTTGGGGGTCAAAATTGATCTGCAGCAACAATGGATTCCAACCTGCAATACTCCAGACTGTAAATATATAAACATGCTGAAAAGGGGAGAATCAAATTAATTAAAAAAAAAGGCAAACAGACTTTAATACTGACTGAGGAATAACAGTCCTACATGACAGAAAAAATCTGGACAAAAGGAACAAATTGAATCAAAACGGAGAAAACCCTTTTACTCCCCTTTTGTGCCCCGCATTTGGCTTGAACACAAGACTACTATTTCACAGGAGTTTTTATCTTAAAAGAACATGAGCCCATGAGATAGATTCACTTATTCAGTTCAAAACACAATAAGCTGGTTTCTGTACATACCTTCTGCTGACATTATATTAATGATCAAATTATGTCTTGCTGTCTCAAAGGTACGTCTGTTATATGCAGTGATCTAGAGTGAAAAAGATAACAATTGCAAAACAACAATGCAAATATGAAAATCAGGTAAATGAAACATCAATGAAAATTACATTGATAATTTAGAAATACCACCTTTTAAATGCTTTGCCTCCTTATACTGAAATGTATGAGCATTCATTCATTAATATAGAATTTGAAAGGTAAAATCAATTTACTTGATGCAGTACTACCTTCAAGTCAGGATACTGGAATTTTCTCAATCTATAGCCAAATACAGTTACGCAAGGCATAAATGTGAAGATAATGTATTTTGATAAGTGTTCTGATATACACATGTATTCTTTCTTTTCTGCTATCTTTAAAAGCAACCATAAACAGCAATGCTGGAACTAGATGATCTTACGGTCCTTTCCAACCCTAACTATTCTATGATTTCCCTGAAACGTGGTAAACCCTTCATAAAACAAATTGAAAGAGACTTAACTTTCTGCCTTATTTTAGACTCTAGTTCATTCATTTCAAGGACAAAGGAGAGGCAGAGAAGTGGCTACGGTGACAGAACTACGTTGTTTCTCCACAAACAGAGCTACAAAGCATTGTGACATTGATTATTAAACAAAAATAGATGTTGTGCTTCTTTTAAGAGATTTAAATGAAAAAGAAAAATGCCCTGGAATATCTTCTGCAGATTCATTTTAAGTGTAGAAAGAAAAGCTTACCTGACACAATCACATCTTATATAATGTAACATTTTTATTATAAAACTAATAGAAAATAAATTCTGAAAATTATTTAAAAAAAATTGTTTCCAATCTTGGATTCTATTAATTTTTCAAAAGGTTGTTTCAACAGAAGTTTAAACATTAATACTTAGAAAACCTAACTGTGGTTATACAAGCTCTATACAGGAATGCAGCAGTACCCACTTGGCAGCTGCACTCCAACAGTTGCCACTGTGGGCCATGCACCTGTACCTAGTGACAGTGGTGGAGACTGAATGAATATTCAGTAGAGGCAGACACAAACCATCTTTGTGCAGCTCTCAAAAAAGCCTGTGCTCGAGAAAGTTACCTGCTCTACTGCAGTGCTATGCATCATCTCAGGCTTTTCTAATTATGAGGCTTCCTCCAATTAACTGACCTACCCATAACACCACCTTAGGAATTACAGTACAATCAAAGTTATATTCAGGCTAGGAATACGCAACCATTCCTATAAGAAAGCGGATCAAATGCAATCTGCCCTCCTCACATACTATATAATTAATTTAAAAAATTCAAAAGCCACATCCAAGAGGGGGACCACAAAGAATTAATTTATATGCTAGGCAAAATTTAGTTCAAATGTAGACTTTGGGTCATGCTTGGAATGGAGTTCTAAAGATCGTAGAATCTGAAAGCACATGCCATTTAAAAAAGGGCAATTTTAAATAATGGCTTTCTCTAAGCAGAGTCTGCAAGTACTTCTGCACATGATTAATTATACAGATGTGATTAGCCCTGCTGAAATCAAAACTGAATCGTGTATAAAATTAAGCATAGGTGACATTATCTACAGTATAACTCAACATTTAGAGATGTCATTCTTGAGGAAGAAAAAAATATATCAAATGCCATTTAGGAAAAAAATCCAACACACTCATGAAGGGTTTAAGACAAATGTACTGCTGAAGCAGCAAAATGGCTAAAGAAAGTTAATGAGCAGGTTTCTCCTTAACACTGTGAACCACACAGTGTCTGATTCGTCTGCTATGACATACATGGCAGAAAATGCAGTCCTTTAATCCTTGCAACCGCTACTCAATTAAGAATTAGTGCTTTTAAATATATGGACAGCTAATTGTAAAAAATAAAGTAGCAGGTTTTGTTATTGTTGCGATTTTAAGAAGAGAAGTATATACATGTAAGTGCTAATTAAAAATTAATTCAGTAAACATGAATAATGAACCAGGGAATGTTCGATTAAAAAATAATTTAACAAAAGAACAAACAAACACCTGCTTATTGACTGAACACTTTATTTTCCACTGGGGAAAAGTCTGAATGATATTTAGGGTAGAATGTTACAAAGTTCAGAATTCTATTACTCTTCAAGCACAGTGGTTTACAAAGTTTTTTGCCCTGTATTTTGTATAAAACTTTAATATATTTGTAATTTACTGAAATGAAATGCCTCTTAGAAAGATGAAGGGCAAGAATCAAGGGTAGATTTAGATTAGATATAAGGAAGAAGTTCTTTACTGTGAGGGTGGTGAACAACAGGTTGCCCAGAGAAGCTGTGTCTGCCCCATCCCTGGCAGCACTCAAGGCCAGGTTGGTCGGGTTTTGAACAACCTGGTCTAGTGGAAGGTGCCGCTGCCCATAGCAGGAGGCTGCAACCAGGTGCTCTTTAAAGGCCCTTCCTACCCAAACCATTCTATGAATCAAAAGGTATTGCATTTACAAATATTAAGCTTAACTGGTTATTGCTATTTACTAGTTATACCTTAAAACATGAAATGTCACGCAAATTGGCTTCCTCTCAATAATGGTACCTATTGGTACCTACCAATAATGGTATTTAAAAGAAAATGCTAACGTCACAAGTCCCTGCCCTTTTTGTTTTTTTTCAATTATTGTAATTAACATCAAAAATAAGAGGCAACACTTGTTGACAGTTCTGAACCTTACACTCTAAACCAAAATACATCTTTATGAAATTTTGAAAGAAAATACCTCAATGATGGTTGGTTTGCCTACATTTTCTACAGTTGGTGAGCCATACAGAACTCCATCGCTGTATGGTGTCCTTTGTATATAGCGTAGCCATCCAGGTCTGTCAGGGTAACCCATTAAATTGGTATTAAATGTTATAGGATCATTACTTATTTCACCTAGATAAGAAAAGGTGTATTAGAATATTTAATAGTAAATGCAATATGCTTTGATTTTGATGTTTCCACTAGAAAGTCCTATCCTATGTTTTCTAAACCTTTCCAAAAAGAAAAAAAAAAAAAATTACTAACATTTACCATGTCAGAAATCTGTGAACTCCTATTTAGCACTTGTAAGTAGTAAGAAATTCATATCTGAAAAGTATAATCAACTGCACAGATGAATGTACTGGTACTTCGTAGAATCCTGGCTAACTGAATGCTCATGTTCATCAACTAGTAGGTCTGATTTTCAGAGTTCAGTTCTCACCTAGAATTGAAGCATCTAACCTTCTTACTGACAAAAGCGTAAAGTTCTCAGTACTTTAATTGCCCAAACTTTCTTTTATTTATGTTTTTGATGATGGCTCCAGGGACCAAACGTACCTGGGAGGGCTTAATGTAAAAAGTAGTTGTGTAATCAACAGTGCCCAAAAGCTTCTGTTAGCATCAGGACATACACACAGGTCTTCAGCACTAACAGCCTGGCAGCAGTTTTTCTTTAAAGAAGAAATAAATTCAAAAAAGGACCTGCACAATGGATCCACTGATGGCTACTAAATACAATGGTCCAGATGCAACCTGTAAAAGCCCCTCAGATCAAACTAGTACAACAGGTCTTGTGGTTCTTAACGATACTCTTACAAATGTCTGGCTATGTCTTCAGTTTATTTTAGCTTTTGGAAGTGAAGTCAAACACACCTAAGCGCTACCAGACCCTCACCACTGAGGCATAAGCACTGTCCAGCTGAGGCACAGAATTCAGCAAATCCATTCTGAGCCTGCGCAGTGCAAGGGTCTGTGCTCCTCCAACTTAGCTTAGAAACGGCAACAGCAACCATCATAGGCCAACTGACAAGAGAAGGTAACAGGCAGGCTGGCACAGAAGGCAGAAACTGAGCCCAATGAAGAAAGGAATGTCTGTCACCTCTAGACAGGAGCAAAGAGACTAAGACCTGTTGCCAAAGGGTAACTAGTTTTCAGGTATGTATTTACACATTGGGCTGTGGGTAAGAGGGACCAGAACCACACCAAAACATCACCAGGGTGCCATGCAACTTTCCTTGCAGTTCTTCTGGGACATCCCAGTAACTTAACCTATTTCATTTGTAATTAAAATTTCCAGCAGTACAAATGATTTGGGGAAAACTGTGAAAACTGCCTGGGACATATTCTGGTTAACCCTTCACCAAGGCAGGCCATGCTAATGATCCAGCACAGCCGACAAAAAAAAAAAAAGAACCATGGTAACATTTGGCCTTACAGTGAATTTCTGATATGATCACCTTCTTCTATGGGCACGGCAAATTCAGCAGTATCTGAAATCAGATTCATACGGCCTTTGAATCACACAGATGTTGAGACAGGCTGGGGCTCTAAAGATTCAAAAGACAATCCAGCAGTAAAACTTCCAGATTCCTTACATATACGTGACAAAACTGTGAGAAAACTGGGACAGAGGCAAACTTCAATCTGACAGTTGCTGTTACATGAACTGAAGACTCCAGAATAAGTGTCAGGAAAAACTTCCAGTTTTCAAGGAGATTAAATTTTTAAAACATTTGGGTTTATCCATAACAAAATTCAACCAATGCTAACAGAAGCTTTTTTTTTCTTTAAAGTTGAGTTTTGAAAATAGTACTCTCAAATAAATTTAAAAGCTTATTAAAGAATTTCAATTTTATTATTCCTTTTCATTGTTGATAAGCATATGAGGCAGAATGCTGTTCCCACCCCCCAGATTGCTTATACATATTCTAACCTGCCAATGATCAAGCCTTTAGCTTTACCTTAGTATACATTAAAACACCATACCTAGGAGATCACACTGCTTACTAACATTAAACTGTTCCTAAATATAAGAAGGCAGCTGAATCCAAAGATGCATTTGTTTTAAATGAAAGAAAACATCACTGCATAATCTCATACTTGATTTAATCTTCCATTTTGTCTCAAATTTACTATACACTTGCAAAGTGCTGCTTCCTATAGCCTGATACACACTAAGTCTCAAATAGTGATCAAATAAATAACATTTTTTTAAGAGACATAATTATTAAACTTTCACAATTTCATATATAATGCAAAACTGAAGGAAAGGTATACTTCCTAATCTTAGATATATAATGCATTATTCTGCCTTCCCAAATTAAGTGCATTTTTCACTATACACATTACATGCATTTTTCACAAATGACAATCACAAACCAGAACATTTTAAACTTGTAGGACCAAATACTTTCATTTTAATGTATTTCAATAGAAACTAAAAACTGGTTTTTTGAACAATATATGCTGAACCATAGGTATGCTAAATAGATTTGAAATTTTTAAAACTTAACCCCCAAACCCACTACATTTTTATATAATATGGAAGATCTTAGCATCCCATACCAGGCTTTGGGTAAGGAGGAAATTCCCCCTTAAAGTACTCTCTCTCCAAAACATGAACAAAAAGAACTCCAGCAGAAGGGTATACATTCCGATCAGAGTGCACCTTAGACAGAATCGTGTACACTGAAAAGCAGAAGGAAAGATAAGAGACAGAAAAAAGCAAAAATGAGACATGCTCAAGATAATACAGCATGCATTTCAACAGCAATGTGGGTATCTGGGAGAAGGAAAGCAACAAATATTAGACACCTGTTAATAAGGCTTTTAAAAGGTTGCATAGATTTAAGAACAGAACGCAGAGCAAGCCCTCTCTTTGCCAACAAGACTACAATAAACAAAATTGGCTATGTTAGGATTTCAGAAGTTTTTATTTTTATGGCAAATAAAAAAAAAAACACCAATGAAAGCTACTGTAATGTCATAGTTGGTTTATTTGTAGTATTACATGAATAAAAATACATTAAGTGAAAGATACAATCGTGTTTTCTTGATATTTTACACAAAAATAAGGAACAGGAGGAACGCAAGGAACCTCACCAATCAATGCTACCGATTCCTCACTGAACAGAAATGGCAGATTTTTCAATTCCTGTGCAGCGAAAGACAACGCAATTTACTTCAGTTGAGGATTTCTAGTTCTTAAAGCTAGACTTTCTTAGCCCAGCACATTCAGGTAACATGCATCTAAGAATCTGGTTAGACAAGTCATTACTGAAGATGTTGTGCTTCTATTGTAGGATAAAACAGAAGGACATGGGTAATTATAGGCCAGCCAGGTGTCACTGATGCCAAACAAAAAAATGAAGCCACATTTTACAAGACTCGGAATTAAAAAACTCAAAGCAAATCTAATTTGGAACAACCAGCATATGTAAAAGCAATATGCTGTTCTTCATGTAGGTACAAATTTAGTTCGTAAAGGCAAATCTTATTTAGCTGTAACACATTTGACAAGTACTATATACACATCTAATGAATTAGAAGAATTAAAGAAAAAATCATTAGGATATATTAAATGGATAAGAAACTACTTTATCAACAAGTTTTGAATTTTAAATGTAAATGGAGAATACTGATCTAATAGGTATTTCTCATCATGTCTCAACAGGACTGATTATAGGCGATATTACTATTCCATATTCCTATTGCATTTTAAGCTAATGCCCTGAAAGAATCAATCATTGCTGATAAATTTTGTCAATGAGATGAGGATTACACAAGCAGTAAATAAAGAGACACACACAGCTACCTGCCTTGCTTGCTAAACTGAAAGAAACCTGATGATAAATCGTATCTCCAAAGATTATAGGCCATAAAATACAGGGGTACTGTCACAGAGAAGAGCAACTCCAAGAAAGACCTCAGAGTTGTAAGAAACTCACAGGAACAAACTCTTGCCTCCTAGAAGATAAAAGGGCTAATTTCAATAAGCAAGATACATTTGAAATGTGGATCAACCTCATCTAATCCTGGTGTAATTTCTCCAGCCTTATTATACCAACCTTCATATTCAAGATCCACTTAAAAAGCCACTGCTAATTAGGCATTAATCACAGACATTCCATCCCTCGAACCACGCACTCTGTGTGGAATCTATCTCACCTAATTTTAGATGCCTACAGAAACAACATCCATTGCTGAGTTAGTCAGGCTCCTTTTATAGTCAATGGAGAAGAAACAGACACTTCAAGGGCTTGATTAATTTAATTTCTCCTGTAAATGAGATGAGTCATAACCTAGATTCCTGACTACACTGACTAGATCTCCACTGACTGCAGAGGCAGCTGAGAGGAGATGCAGACATCTGTAATGTAGACATCCACATTTAGTTACATACTTCCCAGTCTTCAAGCCTGGTACTGCAGAATTAATAATCTCAAATTCTGAATATATTATTGATCAGATTCTACAGCAGTTGCTTTTTCCCACTTTTGGAAACTGCTTTTAACACAGTACTGAACAGAATATATTTCTAATAATTTTACCTTAAAGACAAAAATTAAAATGGATCCTGAAATTTACATAGTTTATTACAATATCGTGTGGTTAATAAAACAGTTACTCTAATTTTAGTTATGTAAACTTAAGTACCGTAACATAACTACTAGATTTGTATAATTAAAATGAGTTAATTGATGACCAAAAAAACTTTTGTACTCACTTCTGTGAATAAGCTGTAAATAGAGAATGGAAACGAATTAATTTCCTTTAAAATATTTTCACGCAAAGCTAAAAATGTAATTTATAACACCTCAAAGTGGAAAAGCTGACAAAAAAAAAAAACATGGTGGCTGACTGAAAATGTGTCACAAATCTAGAAAAATCCATTTTTCCATTTCTAATGCTTTGACTCTATGATGAAAATCTATTTCAAACAGGAAGAATGGTGGAAAAAAGTAATGTATATTTTCTCCATAAGCAATAGTTTTAGAAAGGAGGGAAAATAAGAATCAGCAGTTACCAAAGAAAAAAAAGTAACACATTTCTTTTGTCTGTTAGAGGAACTACTGCCAGTACTAAATGCCTATTCCTAGTAATGAGATGTTGAATGCTGAAATAAACATACAAATAAGGATTTAATGTAGATAGAAAACAGCTATCTTGGTGAAAGTCTAAAAATGCCTCTCAGAAGGAAAACCCCCACAAACCTATTTTATCTTATAATGACAAACACATTGTAATGACACCAGCTGCGAGATTAAGAATTCAAAAGTTCTTGCCCTCCTTGTCAGAGAAGCCCTCTTCTTTTTTCCCTACAAAGTTACTTCAAAGTCAGAAGGAAAATGACGAGTCTTCAGCCCACTACAGTAATCACTGCTTTTCAATAATGAAGTGAGTGAAATGCTATTTTCCTCAAAAGCTTTTAAACCCCTCAATTATTTTCATAGCACTGCCTGAGACTGGAGATGAATGTGTAGCCATCTTAGGTGATCTGGGGATGAAAATGAATATACTTACCAACTTCTAGATACTAATACAGCAGACTGCCAGATGTGAATTGCCTGGCCAAATTCCCTGTGGTACATGAAATTCTTGGGAACTGTGAAAGGCTTCTGTAAAACTAAACGTGGTAAATTAAAAATCTTCACCATATAAGATCACAACAGATCCCTGCTAGGGAAAATATTTAAAAAAAAAAACCAAGAACTAGTTACCAGCAACTTGACAGCACTTTCTTCTTTCTTGTTTCCAGATCACTTGGAGGACTTCCTGTAGATCATAAGATATATTGATGCAGAAAGACTGAAGTTCCAGAGACTGGGAAAGAGGTATATTAATTGGCAACTGAAGGCTGGAAAACACACATCACTCTTTTTGACACATGTACAGAAACTGTCCCGGTTGTTCTTCTTGTAGGTCTTGAACACTGGCAGAGCCAGGAATTCAGCTAAGACTATATCAGCCTCCAGCCCAGAACCTGTTCTCAGGTACAGGTGATCCCAGTTTTCAGAAATTTCAGAAGATTTGCCATGTTAGCTGAAGCCTGTATATTGATGATCTTCAGAAAAAAACATCCACCTGGAAATTTTTTCTTGTCATTTCAATGGGCTCTCTCCCCACTGAGTTTTAGCAGATGAAGCACAATCCCAGAAATAACTTCATTTGGGGGCCAATCCAGATGGCCTGCCTGGATGGCCAATCAGCGCAAAGCCTTTTCTCAGCTACTGTAACTAGCTACAATATTCTACGTGTACTTGCACAAATGACAGTAAAAGTCTTTTTACATAAATACATTAAAAGTTGTTTGTTTTTTTTATGGTTACAGACAAGTTATTGTATTATGCAAACTGCAGAGATATCTCCAAGCAACCAGCCATGATAAGAAAATGTGCAATATTAGGTATACACACAGACAGTATTTCAAGCAAAGTTACAGGAACAGGAAAAGCTGGGGAAGACTCACAAAGACACGCAGGTCTGTGAATGTTTAAAAGACTGAAGAAATGTAAAAATTCCCAAATTACTTACCTTGAACTAACACCAATCTATTCCTAAAACAAGGACATGACTGAAAAAGCAAGAGTAATATTAAAAGCAGATTTGACTGAACCAACATGGGATTTAAATTTGCAACCTAAACTCACCATTCTTCTCAACAGCCTTTATTCTGCTGATAATATAACTGTGGGCTTGCTTAGTCGTCCAGTTAACTGTTCCGCTATTGCCATCAGCAGAGCTTAACAAAAACGCTTTTCAGAATAAAACAAATGCAAAAACAAATTAGTCAGATCAACAGACTCCTACAAAGAAAATATCAGATGGGATCAGATGCCTTCTAAACCAGGGTTTGGTTTAAGTCAGAGTTTAGAACCTCAGATTAAAAAAAAATGGTAGTGCTTGATTTGTATATACAAACATATAATAATCTTCCTGACAATCAGCTTTTTGACACTTACTTTTCCAAATAAGCCAAGTTCACTTGAAATGCTTAAACCTCTGCAGACACTTCTGCTGACATAATTATACTGATACTAAAGATGATGAAAAGCATTCTCTGATAAATATATTTGCACTGGCAAAAATCTCTTATACAGCCAAAGAGATAGCTAAAGTTACTTTCACTGGCATAGTATATTTTGGCCAAAATAGGGAAAGTAATATAACCAAGAGCACCATTTTGCTTATACAAAGATACTTTGTTCATCTAAAGACACATGGGACAGATTGCCTTGCAGGCATAACCAATTACCAATTTTGAAAAAAGAACCAGTTAAAAATGTTTGTCTTCAACCCACACAGCCAGAACTCAGCCTGAAAACAGCTGAAGTGCAGCTGAAGGTGCAAGAAGGTTTAAATATGGTGAGGAACAAATGATTACAGGAGAAAGAAAGCAGCTGTGGAGCTGACAGAATGACTCCATTTCACCAGTAGCAAAATTCCTTACTTCCCACTTTTTGTTCTTTTGTTCCCTTTCCTCTGTGATGACTATGTATATATATTAGCTGTTTGTATAGTTACATGCCAACTGAAAGTGCAGGGGGGAGCAACTGCAGTCAGATGCTGGGAAAAGGAAAGTAGCCATAATAAATAGCCTTTCTTCTGAAATAGTTTGGGAGTGAGAACTCATGCCAAACCCCAGTTAAAAGATGTTATCAGTAGCATCTTAACTTCCTTGTAAAAATATAAACACTGAAACGTCAAAGAGCAGTACTTGCCTACAGATACACCAGTTTGCAGGAAGAAATAAATACTTACTAGAAACACTCAAAGTATGCAAATATTGCTTATATTAGAAGTTTAAACATCTGTGGAAACTTCTGCTGACATAGCTGCACCAATCAGATACTACATTACCGATACTGCCTTCTCTGAACAGAATTTAGGAAGCCCAACAGATCTGGCTTAAGCAATAGTCAAGATACACAAATAATCTATGCATGAGTAAGCCATTTATAAATGGTAATATACACAAAAAAATATAAAATTGAATTGAGGATGAAATGTAATAAAAAAATTGTGTTCAAATTACCATACCAACACCATAACGTTTCTAAATTAAGAATATTTGTTAAGTTTCTTTACATTTTCAATACACACAAAGGATATGATATGACAAAAAGTTCTATTCACATCCACTGGTTTATGTCTGCCTTGTAAGATGGACAACTTTCTCCCTGATTAATTGATCTGCATACATTGCAAGTCTTAATATCATAACATCCTACGGATCATCCAACCCAGTACTACCTGTGACCATTAGTGTAAATTTTCTGTAATTCTTGGAAGACTCAAGAAATTCAAAAAAAGGTAAAATAAAGTTGTTCCAATATTCCAATAGAATGAGCTGGGCAATCAGAAGGTTGCCAGCTACAAACCAGCATCAAACAAAACAATTAGTACAAAAGTTGATTACTGAATTAAATGGAGAAGAGTATTACCACAGTCAATAAGGATTTAATACATGTTTTCAGATACTTCTGACAAGCCCACAATTTTTTCTAATGAAGATAGCAGCATTTTACCTTTAGATACACAGTGCATCACTTGCACTGAGAAACTAGATACAAAATCATTCTAGCATCTTTAAATGGAATTTTAAAAAAGGAAAAAAAAAGTTCCAAAATATTTTTTTTAATATAAATGATCAGCGTCTTCGATTTGGGTTCACAAGTTGTACTATGTTTAGCTGTGGGAATTAAAGAGGTGGGGATTAAAGAGGTTACCTGTCCACATCTATCCTACACTGCATTTCACAGGGGAACTGGAAAAGCAAACAGTATGCTTGTTTTCACATCCTAGAGTTTACAGTGTAATGTTTTCATATAAATATATACCACCATCTATTTAATTTCAAATAACATGTGTGAAATAAAACAATCCAGAAGCACACTGCCCATTGACTTGCAATCTCAAGCAAGAAAACAGGACTACTGGATAGTTAATTTATTATAGGAGATTTCTAATGGGCCTCACAAGGTTCTAGCAATGACCTTATTCAATCGAACACATATATGTATGTGTATATGTATATATATATATATATATATATAATTACCTGGATGTATAATATATACTGATAAAATTTGCAGGTAAAAACAAAAGCTAGGATATTGATAAATAATGGAAATGACATGCTGCTAACATAGAACAGTCTGCATTGTTTGGTAAAAAGGTGATCAGTGATATGAACTTCAATAGAATAAAATGTAGTCGCATACCCAGCAACAAAGGCAGCGTGCCATATGCACACTACAGAGCATTCACCTCAGGGATGCTAGACTTTGATAAAAAACTAGGGACATACATCAGGTAATAACTGGTTGAACAGAAGCTTTCAGCAGAAGACGGGTTAGAATGGCTGATATGCAAACAGCAACATCAAGGAGGAGCAGGGAGATTTTATTTTTGTGCTTGACACAGATATGATCAGTGTTCAAATGCTGTCTAGTACTTACAATGAGGCTTCAAAAAGCACAGTGACAGGAAGAAAGCTCAGGGAAGATCTGTGAATATGATTAAAGAATAACGAAAAAGACCTTATACTACAGAATACAGGGAACCAAACTATGCATTTTATCAAAGCGACAGTTTAGAATTCATTTGATCAGCCTTGTTCTCATGCTGAAAAAAATGTGAATAGTGTCAGGCTCCTCAGCTTGTTACACATGTAACTGTAGTTACTGAAGCACCCACCACTGCTTATAACAAGAGCAACTCACAGCTCTGTGCCAGGGACTTGAAGGTGCCCAGGTGAAGTGCAGCTACAGTGTTGCTGGTTGTTTGGTTTTTATTTATTTCATTATATTTTTCTTTAATTAATAGATTTATTTTCCTAGAAATTTTTGTTCAATATTTTTCTTTAATTATATTTGTATTATAACTATACATCATATTTACATCATTTAATATTATTTCTCCCTTTCTTTAATTGTATGGCACAGGTTTTATGTAAGAAGATTTTAAGCATTAATATTTAACAAAATATTTAACAGAGAAGATACCCACAACAATTTCTGCCACCTCACAATCAAAAAAAGGACCCACAGATTATGGACCAACTTCACCTTCCCCATTCCTTTACTGCCCTCTAACATCCATATACCATCCTGCACCCTTTATCTATCCTCCTAACAGCTTCTTTGAAGTAGGATCTCAAGCTTGTCTCTCCCACTACTAATGCAGCACACAGCTCCAGCTCCCAAAACCCAGTATTTCCCTTCTCTCTCACACCTATACCTTCACCTGGGACCTGACCTAAACACATGCTTGATACTTTTATGCCACAGACCAGGACCTTGGGCCATTCTTCCACTACCCCCTACTCTCTTAATGTACAACCCTGCTCCAAAAAAATACCCTTGCACTCCTCTACCACATATCCCATCTGGCTCAGAGTCCTTCCTGCATCCTGAGCTGGAAACACAGATTTCTGATGGGCTACTGAGAACTGCAGAGCAGAACTATTACAAACTGATGCCACCAAGTTGAAACAAAACATCTGTCAATGTGCGTTCAAAACAAATGAAACAAATGAAAACAAAGCCATCTGCATCAATGTGCTCGCCCACAGCTGAAATCAGAGCTTGCACTCACTCTTGTTACTGAGGATCCACTAACTGATGTCAGCACTGAGATACCTGCCCCACTGGTCACTAGAGGAGGCAGAAACTGTACCTACTCTCCCTCCTTTTCCAACCTCCATACCCCTTCCTCCTACCTAATACCTAATAAGCAACCATAACTGCAGAAATTTACTATGAATTAAAGTGGATTCTCGCAGTGGAAATTCACATAAAGATTAGGTATTTTCTAACAGATTAAATCCTCTTCAGTGATAGCTACTACATAAGAAATAATTTTTGTTAGTTCTCCATTGTGGATTGCTGAGGTTCCTCTGCACTCCATTGATTATAACCACCTAAAAGTTCAAACCAAATCAAGAAATGTTTCTATGCTCTATACTTACTCATATTTGTTCAGTAGGTAATGTTTTTCTACCTGTTTCTGTGCTCCCCATTGATTATTGTAACATCTGAATATTTCTCTGAGATCATTTAAGACAAGTAACTGAATAAGGCATTTTGTCAGTCTTACTGTGAAACTTCACCATTTGCTTTCCTGGGAATGCTGCAAATTAAGTACTGGGAGAACAAAAAACCTCATGTGTTATTAATAGCAACATTTACCCACCACCATTCTCCCTCCTACTGCAGGCCTGAGAAGAGAACCAAATTAGGTTAGTTTCTCCATGAAAAGGTGAGGAAAAGAGTGCTAGTTCCCGCAATCCAGCTCAAACTCACCCTGTGTAATCAATGGTCACCCTGTAAACCTGCTACTCCATGATGCCCCCTATATTTCTGTAATCTCTTGATACAAATTATCAGAGTATCCCCGCAATTACATTCCAAATTTCTGAGGTGGCAACTGATTTCAAAGACTAAAGGAATTCAGAAGTCATGTATTTCAAGACACTGAGACTTCTGTCTGATCACTAGATTGTTCTTTCTAAAGTCTCACCTTCATGGCTTGGACTGCCACTAAAAATTAGCTGCATTGAAAAGGCATTTTGGTGGTTTGTGTTGCCGTAGTAACAACATTGAGACACTCTCTATGTTTACATAAACAACATTTTCTTTTTGGTATTACATAATGAGCACCATAACTACACCGTTAACAAAACAATGTATACTTTGATCTATGTAACATGTTCATGCTAATTCCAACACAGAAACACTTGGCAGTGAATAGTGAAATCCACACCTTCAGCTTTCAGTCTCAGTCTGTAGTACCCTGTGTCACACTGAAAACACTACAGCAAGACAGTCATGTAAAAACTCTTCTCAGGTTAGAGCACTTCTTGGTTGATCTACTACTTCTTGCTACTGCTTGCTTCAAAAGCATTTGAACTGATTAGGAGGGAACCTACTATGTGTTCTCTGTTTTCTTGGCTCTTCTGTTTCTTTCAAATTCCTTTGGAAGTATTACAAATTAGCAACTCCCTCCCTACTTCTAGAGCTCTGCCAAAAAAAAAAAAAAAAGGAACTCTACAATGATAGTGTCTGCTGTAAATATATCAATACCTAATTGAGAAGAGTACAAAAGCTGTACCAAAATAGATTATGTTTAGGTTTGAGGGGTTTTTTTCTTAGTTTCATTGGAAACAATCTTTCTTCTGGAGAAAGGGCTTCACTTTGGTGACTGTAACTCCTGAAGTATGTTAATGGACTTCTAACAAATCTGAAAACCTAAGGAACAAAAATAAGCCTCTCTTTACACACTGAAAGTTATGCCTAGAAGATAAATTTCTGCTTTAAAACTGATTTCTTAATGTCTGGCTTTAGGACCTCTAAAATGCCTCCATGTAAGCTGTACCACCCATAAATAATGTGCTTCTGTATGCTACTCTACTAGTATGTTAATGAAAAGCAATGCTAATGGAATGGCTAGCTCTTCCCTCCTATAACTACACTCAAGGAAGCACTGTTGACAACATATTTTATTTTTTAATCTGGGTCAGATTAGTACAAAGACTTGACTGCCCTAGTTCCTTCTCAGCTGCTATCCCACAACTGATCTCAACAGGCATATATAGGAGAGGCAGGCAGAACAGGCAGGAAGAATTTCCACATAAGGAGAAAGCAGTATACTACATCTAACAAATGCAAACCTTTACTCTCACACTGAGCAATTTAACACTCAGGCGCTAACTGCATCTTTAATACACCCAATGCCTAATGTCACTTCTGAACCAGTATCCTATTACCATATACGTAAACTATGACAAATAAGGCTATGCACTGAAGGAGTATTACAAGTGTACCTAGGCATTATTTGAGAAGATACTGAGCAAACTATTAGCTTTTAGACGACCCACCACCAAACTCTCAGACCACAAAATAACCTAAAGAAATAGATTTCTTGCTGTTAACTTGCTCTTGGGGTAGCAACAACAGTCTCAGAAAGGCATTCCTGTGGATGAACTCCTATGAAGCAGTTTCCCATTAGTAGTACTTCACTGTGAAGAACCTTGCGGGGTGTGAAACCTGCCTACTGCATGAGAGCTGTTGTTTATATGCATTAAGGAGCAGGATTTTCTTCAGTCTTAATTCTGATAGTACTGGAGTAAGTGGTCAAACCGGAAAATAATTTTCGGAGCGGATATGAAAAATCCCCCCATACCCAAAACAGCCCTGCCCTCGGAGACGCGCACCAGCCCTGTCACATTGAGAGAAAGGAGAACAGCAGCGGCCGCTGCCACCCTGCTCTGCCCTGCCCCGCCCGGGGTGCGGAGCCGGCCCCGCCATCCCGCGGTTCTCAGGCAGGCCTCGCTCCGCGCCCCGCCATCAAACCCGCTCACACACCGCGAGGCCTCCCTCGTCCCCCGCCCCGGTCGAGCTCTCTCAGCTCACGGCCCCAGCTGGACTAGGGCGCTTCCCCCGCCGCACCGCCCTGGGAAGGGCAACCGCAGCGGTCCTCTCCGCAAGGGCAGAGGCTAGGGGCGGGCAGGCCGACATCCCTGCACCCCCTACGGGTGCCCTCCGTCTCACCGGGAAGCCACCGGAGCCGCAGTGGCGGAGAGGGGGATGCTGGGGCGGCTCGAACCCCGCACCGACAGCAGACGGCGTCGGGGGAAAAGGGGGCACAGCGAGCCGCAATCTGAGGGCAACACGGGGAGGGAGCGGCACCACCGGGAGGAGACACGCAGCCTACAGAAGAGAGGGACACCGCGGAGCAGGCCGGCGGCTGCCGCCGAGGCCCGTGGCCGCTTGACGCGGTGAAACGCCACGGTGACCGACCTGTCAGCAGGAGGGTGGTGAGCGCGCCTCCGCCGTGCGGCCAGGGCCCCGGCGCGCAGTACCGCATCGCTCCCCGCTCCTCCTGCCGCTGCTGCCGCCAGCGCTGCCGCCACATCCTCCGTAGCGGACCCCGCAGCGCCGCACCGTATCCTATCGTGCCCTGCTGCCGCCTCGCCCCGCGGCGTCCACAACATCCTCCCCGCCCCACCCAGCCGGCGGTCTCCAGGCAGCGCCGCTGCCCCGCGGGGCATGTCGGGAGGAGTCTCTCTCCACACCCCGGCTACGGCGGCCATGTTGGGGGGAGCAGGATGGGCGCGGGGGAGTTGGGCTGCTCGGTGGGGGGCTTTCGTAGAGCGGGGTCCATAGGACCCGTTTCCCCTGAGGGTGGGAACAGGCTGGCTTGTGGGTCTGTGGCAGGGTTCGGTGCCTTCCCTGCCCTGCCCTGGCACTATCTCTGCGAAGAGGCGGGCTCCCACCGCTCTTGCCTCAGGCCAGCGGTGTAGATGTGGCGGGGGGGGAAGTCGCGGTAAAGCGAGGCGCGATTGACGCGCCCGGTGGGAAAGGGGAGGCAGCAGTTGTGGTACCGTGCTACTGGCTTCTTGCAGCCCAGCTCCCTCCCTTGAAGCCAGGGTACAAGCGGCAGGGCAGGATACCTTGGAAGCTTGGCTGGTGCAGGCAGGTGTGGTGTGCTCTTCAGGGACATCATGGCTAAGGTCCTTGCAACATCAGTTTTCTGAACATCTTATCCCTTTTTAATTCTATATCACTATTCTTCATATAAGTCCAGAGTGGTTTGTTTGTTGGTGTTCAGCAGCTGCAGCTGTCAAGAGTTGTGGAGGGGATGGCCAGGGGTCCAAAGTTCCAGGCTGCAGTGAGTGTGGAGGCTTGTCACTTTTCTCACATTGCTGTCTTGCAGCTTTGTGTCCTCTATTAAAGGTTGTACCAAATTTCCTAAGTCAAGTCTGATCATCCTGTGCTGTCTCACTTCACACATTATGGTTTCTGGACTAACTGCTGATTTTTAACTGCCATTTCATGTCTGTAGCACAGTATTTGCTCCCAGTGTGGAAGCAAAGCTCTACGTTGGAAGGAAGAATATTGTCAAAAGCAGGCAAAGGTGATGTATTTGGTGGGTGGGTGAATGTGTATGTCATATATAACCACTTCAGTAGGACGCAGCGCTCTGTAAATACAGCAATTTATTTCAGGGAGCTGCGCCCTCTCAGTTTTACATATGTTACATATCAGAGTAATCCCTGTGCTAGAACTACGTATAGAACCACATCTAGACCCATACCTGTATTATTTATTATTTAGTAAGTTTGATTAGCACATTATTAAAACTTGATATTTCTTAGTTATGCATGGGAGGGTAAATTTTTTAACAAATAATTTGTGACTCTTGCTGTATGGCCTAGTATAGAAGTACCTTTTAAATAGGGGCAAGACTTGCATGGAGAGTTTCTGTGAAATATTTGCTTCTAATTGCATAGAATGCAGTTGAAGATCTTCATTTACCTTCCACAAATAAAACCCCAGCTCAACGAATAAATGTTGCTCCTTTTATTTTCTGCTTCTGGTGGATTGTCATGTTTGATATTTGCAAACTGCAGTAAGTCTTCCATTATCTGTGGAAATGACCTTCCCTTTTTTTGTTCTGCATACGGAAGTTTGATCCTCATGATATTTCATAAGCATTTCCACTCTAGTGAGCCAAATGTATTTGCGAAGAATAATGATTGTCTGCTTTTGAGGTTTGGAAGGAAGAAATATAACCTGGCTTACTCAAATTGTATTGACTGTGTTGAACTCTTTATAAGCAAGGGATAAAAAGACACTGTAGAAGACTTTACCTTGTCTGGCTTTAGGCTTGTTACAGCTCTAAATTTCCAGTAATCCATCTCGGGAAAGGGAACTTTACGTAGTAAGAGGCTCTTCAGCACAGAAGTTCTGCCAGATACTAAGGTGCAGGATACCCTGGCGTTTTAGCCAGCTCATTATCCCAGATAAAGGATTTTTTCTTATTCTCTTTCCACTGTGACTTTCAGAATGTATTCACATTTTAATTTGAGTACGTAGATATTTAAGAGCAGAAATCACACTCTTTCATTTACCTCTGTCTAGAAGTACTCTTCTGTTTCATGAGACTTTGTAATTTTATGTAGGCCTGCTTCCACTCTGAAGTTATATGAGAGTTTTTGATTCATTCCCTTATGGAAGCATACAAAGCCATTGAGGTGCAACTGTGCCATAATGATCTCAGATAGCTAGCTCATCCTGTGATGGTAATGTTTAGACTAACAAGTGAGAATGCTGGTAGTTTTCCAACAATTTTTATGCTAGTGAAGTGTCTTGAGTGAACATCTGTACTGTTACCAGCTTATTAATTACCATTTTCTTTCCAAGTAATGTCGAGATGTTATTTCTATAGACACTATAAAACTGCCACCATCATTTTTTAATACGGTATCAGCAGTGTAGTAGTGTTCAGTGCTCTGCCACCTCTGCGTAGAAAGAAGGCTATGTTTGTCTAAAGTGTGCTTGTGAGATGCACTGCCTGAGAAGACATGTTACTGGTTCATAGAGAAGTGCCACAAAGGCCTGGCTTGTTCCACTGCTTCCTTCACAGCAGCCATTGCACATGAGTGAGGGTCTATGTCTTTGTTGGTAGTCATATCTTGAGGCTGGGATTCCAAAGCATACAGAACTGACCCAGCTCTGCAAGACAGACTTTGATTTACCTGAGAAACTTTGGGTAATTCTATGCACTTCTTAAGAATTCTACCCTCGCATTCATGAAATGAAGTGATATGGGCAAAACAACTTGTTTAAGTCAGCCACCACTGACTTGATATTGGTTAGAAATACTCCCTCTGTATTTCTTTCTCCTTATACTGTAATTTAACAGACTGTAACAGAAATGAATGGAAAGGGATGTAGTGATGAGACATTTTTACAGAAATTGTTCCATATTCCATATATAGTGCATTTACTTTGGTGAGTAAAAGAGTTGGCATTAATTTTTAGCTAAAACTTTTTAATTCCAGAGTATAAACGCCTAATTTTTCTAGGGATGCAGTGACAGTTGCTGTTTCCCCATGCATTCTGCACACTGGGTTTGAAGGTTTATTTTACTCTTCACAGATTCATGCAGAAGCAATACAACCTAATGCATTTGTACATTTGTCTTTTAGGGTACAGGTGCTTCCAGCTTGATCTTTATAGATACTCAATGCTTGCAAGTGTTCAGTGCTTCAGAGGTGAGCCCACATGATTTTTTGTTTAAAAGAAGGAAGCACAGTTGGTGGGGTTTTTCTTCCTTTTTGTTTTTTAGGCACTCTTGTGGGGAAAATATTTGTGTATCTGTATATAGCTTTTAGTAAGGGTAACGACTAGTATGCCAAGTTATTATGTAAGACATAAAAAGAACAACTACAGTTCATGTTCCAGTTTGCAAGACCTTAGGAGTTCATAACAACACCTTTTATTACATTCCAAGGATTCTTACATTTTTCTTTTGTACTTTTGTCTTTCTCATGTTTACTGGAAGACTTTTGGCTGGTAGGCATATGCTGGTAATTTGTGCCTGCGGTATATTACTAGTTTTTAATGCAGCGTTTAACTATGTATTTTATGTGTAGCTATGCTACAGGACACTACATACAACAAAAAAATCCTCAGAAATGAGGGGTTTAAGAATTTTTATAAGTACCCAACAGATGCTTATTGAAACAAAGCACAGTATTCAAAATTAACTTCTAGAGTTGAACAGAGATTTTTATGAGCTGTGTTTTTACCTGATTTAGCCCATGTATTTTATCTTTTTTCCTGGAATTTTAAGTGATTAGGAGGAGCTCAGAAGACTGAATTATGTAATGTAGTACTGCAGAAGATACCATGGCTTTGGAGAAAGAAGGTTATATATGGCCAAATATGGAAGTGATAAACAAGAACAAATTAAAAAACAAGAACTTGGAAGAAATAAGAAGTGCACTCTAAGTTAAAACAGACCACATGTGACTTACTTCAGTTTGCTGACCCAACACTTGTATAGCCAGTAGCCTTCTGTGTCAGTACTTTGGCCTTATTATAGAGGGTATGGTTTCACATGTCTGAGAGTACTTGTGGCTTTTTAGACATGCACTAGTGCACCGGAAACACTGGTCCTTGTTAGCATTATAGGAGAGTTTTCACTCTCTTTGTATGTACACATGGCCCATGTTTGCCCCTCTCTCCCTCATCGGGCACTGTTGGGCAGCAGACAGTGAAACAATATTGAGGTGTGCTTTTCTTTTATGAGACTTCTATTTCAGACATACTTGCTGCTGGGTGATTACTGATTGCTCATACCTTAGTTTACAAGAGAAGTATTGACTGTGATTTCTGTCACACATTTTTTCCTGTGGTCAGTGCTTTTAGGGAACATGGTGGTTCAAAGAATTAATATTTCTGTACTTCTAGCTGCTATTCTGGAAAAGTACAAATACCACTAGACAGTGACCAAGTTTGATTTTTTTCTCTTCTTGCTCTGTATTGAGAAAGGCTGCATTTTGTAGAATGGCACAGAGGATAAATAGTTTACATATTTATCGTGGGGCAAAAAATAGTACCAGAATACCAGAACCAGTATCTGAATCTCTTAAAATGTCTGCCTGTCTTACTTGGATTAGACTACTTAGTCCAGTGTAAGTATCACTAAATTATTTTTTATTTCATCTTCCTGGGAATTCTGTCATTTCTAAATCTCTAGGTTTTAACTTGGCATAATTTCTTGTAAATTCTGCATAGAGAAGTTAGTCTGATGACTAAATTAGTTAAAAATTCTGAACTAACTCTCGAATCTTCATTGTTCATCAATTCTGAAGTTATCCACAAGAATTCCTGTTTCAGCTTTTCTTGTAATCCACATCAAGGCAAACCTCCCCCACCTGGGAAGGTAAGAGTGGGTGTCTGTTCAAAAGCATATGTGAAATACAGTTAGCAGAGTTAATGGCTGAAAAATGAGAGCTTCTAAATTCTGCTAACATGTGGCTGCCCAAAGCTATGCACCTTTTGTGAATACTGTAATGAGTAAGGTCCTCTGTACTTCAGACTCCTGCTTGCGGAAACAAGAATATTTATACTTTGCATTATTTAATTTTCTTATTTTT